AGATACAAAAATTTAAGCCACAGAGAATTGATTCTCATCAAGGTTTCATTCTTTTCGCAGTTCCTCTGATCCATGGCTGGCTTCTCATACCCCTCAGTTTTTAGGTGGAGGATGAACCATGGTTTCACTTCTCTTACCTGTTTCTCTTCACTTCTGAGCTCCCTGTTTATATGTGCCTGGGCATGGGTTGACAGCTCTTCCATTACCTACAATAAAGAACAATGCGCGCTGACTCAGTTTCAGGGTGTGTGCAGCATTCCCCAGAGAACTCTACATGGAAAGCTCTTGCATCTGTTCAGTGTGTCAGCTCCATGGCCAGCCAAACAACGAAAGCTCTTGGTGGGAACAGTATCAGAGGGGATTGCTGACCGTTGTGCCGGAGCCTTAGCAAGGTTCAGCCCTCGGAGGCGTGTTCGCCTCTTTCCACTAGCATCAGCCGGGCTTGCAGGCCCACACAGAGCAGGGAAGAAACTCCACCAAGAGGTCTGGGAAGTTCCTTTGTTCCCTGTCAGGGGCAGGTGAAAGACCCCAGCCCCAAGCCCTTTGGAGATCGAGGTCTGAATGGCACATTTCTCTCAAATGGGTGAACTGGGGAGCGCACAAGGGAGTGTTTTGGTCACAGTTTTGGGTTCCTTTGATTTTAGGAGCCTCATGTATAAATTAGCTGTAGAAAGGGGGCAAAACATCTATTTTGGTGCCAACGGATGTCTGGTATCCTTCCCCACTCTGTCACCTAGACCAGAAGAAATGCAGGATGAAGGCTGTACAGTAACAATCTGATACGCCCCATCCTACCCTGTGGGTTATCACCTCTGCGCTAACCTTTAGCCTGGTTTGCACTTGGGAAGGGGGGAAGGAGGTTCTGCACCAGCGTAGCTACACTGATGCAAACCCCGAGTGTAAGTCACTTTTCATGCCAATGCAGCGTATCCACACTACAGGTTGCCCTAGCACAGCTACATCAGAGCAGCTACAATGGGGCAAAACCAAAAAAATCCCCTCGTTCTCAATAACGTTTTGGCCTCGGGCTGTTGGACAATACCGTTTTGGGGTCAGAAGTGCCATGTTCTCATTCTCATGTCTCACTTGCCCCAGCTCAGCTCTCTGACAATGCGCATGTAACATTTGCTACACAAGTCGCAGCACTTGCAGAGTGCTGGAGGGCAAGTCACTTCCCTGGGAGCCTCGTCTGTCCTGCAGAGTCCAGACCCAAGCAGACTGTGCCAAAGAAGTGCTGTGCCCTTGTATTTCCCCCTGGCTGGGGCCCAAAGGAGATAAGGATGCTGATGGAACAAACGTAATTTTCAGTCATTCAAAGTGCTCGGAAGGTGAACGGCGTCATACTCACTCTCACGGGTGGCACTTGGGGTGGGAGGGTTCCTCTCTCTTTCTTGGCACTTTAAATCCCGACGTCATAGGCTAAGACAGAAAAAGCCAATGATTATAAGCAGATACCAGCCCTCCGCTCGCCCCGAGCTACGTCAGGTACAGAATTCCAGCACCCCTGTGATGACAAGGACAGCGAGAGAGCCAGCAGTGGGAGGGGACAAGGAAGGGAGCTGCTAGGAGGAAGGTTACCGCGCCAGGAGGGAGCAGCGGCGAGGACCCGCTGTCTGTCATGCTTGGCTGTATGGCAGGTTAGCGGCTCCACCCAGCAGATATTTTGACCATCCTTCGGCTACATGCTGCCGTACAGCGGTGGGTGCTCCAGTGTGTTCTGGAGGCGCCCAGGGACTGGCAGAGCCGATCGAATTGGAGCCAAGTGAAGGTTGTCTAGGCCGCAAGGGAATGGAGTGGTTCTTTGGAGTCAAGGGGGACCTTTCCCCCGCGCCCCCAGGCTCAGGATGTCAGTGCCTCAGCCATGCAAGCAACACTGCCCAGAGCAAAGGGCCTGGGGGATTAGGCTGCAGAGAGGCAAACCCTGTGCTCTGGCGCCTCGCCCCCGGATCACGCTCTGGAGTTTCAGAGACTTTTTTTTTTGGTCCCCTGGAAAAGAGAAACCAGGAGGAGGCAGCTGCAGGAGTAGCCAGGATCAAACATCCAGCTTCTCACTAGCACCAGGCGTGTTGCTCCAGGGAAATGGGGCTTTAATACGGGATGAAGACGGGCCAGGGTGGGAATTCCATTCTTTTAGTGTTCAAACCTGAAACCAGACAGGCTTCCCGGTGAGACCTAGCGTAAAATCAAGGGCCTCCCAGGCAAAATAAGAAAAATCTGCAACTGAACAGCCAAATTCAACAAACTGGCCGAATTTAGAGCCAAAGGAAGAGGTAAGAAAAGGTATGTAAATGACCCCAGTGTAGATAAGGCCCTCCTGAGCTAATGAAGAGTAGATGAAGCGTAGGCCTTGTCTACACTACAAAGTTTTGTGGACAAAAGGCAGCTTTTGTCGACAAAACAGTGAATGTGTACACACTGTGATGCAGCAAAAATGCCCTGTTTTGGTGACAAAATAAAACCAACCTGATGAGAGACATAAGGCTTTTTGCACAAAATATTTGTTGACTAAGTGCCAGTGTAGACCCCACGCTTGATTTTATTGCTTTAATTGGCCTCTAGGAGATGTCCCACAATGCCCATGGTGACCGCTCTGGTCAGCAGTTTGAACTCCATTGCCCTGCAGCCAGGGAAACAACCATCCTCTCCTCCCACAGTCAGTACGGCGGAACAGGGTTTTGGTGCACACTGAGATCTCACGGGAATCCTCCAGAGAGATCTCCAGGAAAGTTTCCTTGAGGTACTCGGCAAGCCTCTGCCAGAGGTTCCTTGGTTGAGCTGCTTTGTTCCTTCCCCCATTGTAGGAAACTTTCCCGCGCCATTCGGCAATCACTTGTGCAGAGACCAAAGCGGCACACAGGGAGCAGGTCGGAAGCCACAAGTATGGAGTAGATGTACCCTCGCTTCCCTGCTTACCCTCAGCAGTGAGATGCCTGCTACAATGCCCCCCGCCCGTGGAAAAGTGTTTTTTCTCCCTAGTTGACTGCACCACAACTTTTGCAGAGCACTCTTTTCCCCATGTAGAGCACCCCCACCCCCACCAGCCAACACTCATCATGCTTTGGGTGTCCACTGAGAGGTGTGCTTGCCAAGGGTCAGTGAGACAGTGATTGTTATGTTACCAGAGGTGTATTTTACTGAAATGTGGCAATGCTGTGCGTGAACTTAACAATCCTGCTTCTGTGCATTGTTCCTTCCGCTTCGGCAGGTGTGGCCTTGAGGAACATCCCACACACCCAAGTGTCTCCACCAGATAAGAAAGTGCCCAAGAGGGAGCAAAGAAGACATGTTCCGGCAGGTCCTGCACTTCTCCAAAGCAGAGAAAAGGGAACGCAAGGAGTGGAGGGAAACCAAAAGGCAGGATAGAAAAGAAAATCAGGAGTTTGTTAAGGATGCTACTGAGTGAATGATTAAAGTCATGGAGGAGCAGATGCTGAAGTCCTTAATAATGCTAGGACAAGAAGCAATGGGCTTAAATTGCAGCAAAGGAGGTTTAGGTTGGACATTAGGAAAAACTTCCTAACTATCAGGCTGGTCAAGCACTGGAATAAATTGCCCAGGGAGGTTGCGGAATCTCCATCATTGGAGATTTTTAAGAGCAGGTTAGACAAACACCTAAGATACGCCACAATCTGCTCGGCTTTCCCACAAGACCTAGTGGCAGAAGGTGTTGAGCTGGACTGTGGGATAGGTACCCACAGTGCATTGCTCACACTGTTGATGCTAGTGCGCCACGTGTGGACGTGCTCTGCTGACAGAGGGAGGGAGTGTGAACATGCAATGCCGATTTTTAGTGTAGCGCTTTTTGAGTGTCGACATAACTTTTGTCGACAAAATTCTGTAGTGTAGACAAGGCCTTAGAAAGGGAGAATTTAGGCTGAATACCAGGAGACGCTCCCCAGGAGACGCTCCCCAGGAGCCCAATGTATCAGGCTGCAGAACCGTCTTCCCCAGGGAAATGGGGGAAGAACTGATTGCTTGGGACTTCTATAACTGGACTGGACAAAGCACCCCAGAGTGTGCTGTAGGGAACACTCCTGCCCGGGTACCAGGCAGACAGGCTCATCAGTCTGCCAGGGCCTCCCATCTCTCCTCTCTACCTGGCTCCAGGAATGACTCCTCCAAGACCCGCATGTTTCTGTCCGTGGATTAGTGGCACTTGCTACACCTTTTAATTTGGCACATGGAGGATTAACTGAGACCCGGGAAAGCAACACTGGATATAATTAAAATATACATCCAGTTAATTACTGATAATGCTTCCCCTCTTTAATATTGGCCTCTAGCAAGGCTTTTGCTGAGAACAGCAAAGCAAAACACTTTGTTTTTATTAGTTTTTTAAAAGGAAAAAGCCTCATCTATCTGAACATGACACTAAAACATTCTTGGGTCCAGCCTGCGTTCACTAACAATATCTGTGCATTCATATACCAAGGAAATTCAATTATCTGGCAGAACATGTCCCAAAGGCATTTAGATAATTGCAACCATAAGTACAAAATCTGCCACTAATTATTAAAGAAATACCAAATATGGAGACCAAATGATAGAAAAGTGGCATTACTGAGTATAAAAACCACTCACACATGCTGGAAGCAAGTAAATTTTCACAGAGGCACTTTTCATTATGATTCTAGAGTAAAAAAAAAAGGTACATTACAGAAGTTGGATAGAAATGCTGCTACTGAAGAACTCCATTACCACGATTCTGAGTGTAGACTGAAAACCTCCAGGGGGCTCTGCAGAGGGAAAGGAGGAAGAGAGGAGATGGGAGCCCCTTTGCCAGACAGAGAATTGGACCCTGTGGAAAACACATGGTTTTCCAGAGGAGAAAAAGACCGAAGTGGCACAGAGAAAAAAGCTCGCTTGGGATATGGGGTGGGCGTTGACTGAGGATTCCAACCACTTGTAAGAGAAGCTGAAGCTTGGAAGAGCTTATTTGAAATCAGTGGTTCGGGCAGTGCAGGTTCTATTTGTGAAGCCCTTTGAGAGCCTGGGATAACAGGTGTTTTGTGGAGCCAGGGCCCGCATGGGCGTTCTTTATTAACCATTAGTGTCACATTTGCACTGTATTTTGTTTCCCAGTGACAAACATTTTAAATGAAAATTTCCAGAGCTGATAGTTTCCTGCGGGGACCCTCTGTGCAAGGGGGATGTTTGGAAAGTAACTGAAACCTCCCATCCATTAGTTATTTCTCCTATAAAATATATAAAATATATTAATAATATAAAAATATTGCTCGAGCATGCAGGGGTGTAATCAGGAAGCCCAAAGCACAATTGGAGTTGCAGCTAGCAAGGGATGTGAAGGGTAACAAGAAGGGTTTCTACAGATATGTTAGCAAGAAGAATAAGGTCAGGGAAAGTGTGGGCCCCTTACTGAATGGGGGAGGCAACCTAGTGCCAGATGATGTGGAAAAGGCTGAAGTACTCAATGCTTTTTTTGCCTCAGTCTTCACAGACAAGGTCAGCTCCCAGACTGCTGCACTGGGCAACACAGTATGGGGAGGAGGTGAGCAGCCCTCAGTGGTGAAAGAACAGGTTAAGGACTATTTAGAAAAGCTGGACATGCACAAGTCCATGGGGCCGGATCTAATGCATCCCAGGGTGCTGAGGGAATTGGCTGATGTGATTGCAGAGCCATTGGCCGTTATCTTTGAAAACTCCTGGCGATCGGGGGAGGTCCCGGACGACTGGAAAAAGACAAATACAGTGCCCATATTTTGAAAAGGGAAGAAAGGGT